ATATAGAAAACAAAGCATTACCCACAACTCAAGCAATCTTGATAAAAGCATTGCCATAGCATTACCAAAAAATATATATAGAGAGAAAGGAGTTAATTTTGTTTCAAAATAAACAATAGTATATATACATATAGAGAGAGAGAGAGAGAGAGAGAGTTGATAATGTAAATAAACACAACACCTTCAAGAAAATCAACACAACATCTCTTCCAAGGATATATATAGAGAGAGAGTTGATAATGTACCACAATGGAGTGTCCCTTCCGTCGGTGTGAACGTTCTTTTTGCTTGTGTTGCTGCTGATGTTTTCTTTCCTTCGATGCTACTGCTGGTCTATGCACACCGGCGGTTGTCGGTGCTGCTCCTGCTTTATGCACGCCGACTATTTTCCAAGTTGATAATGTATTGATCTTATTCTATTCTAGGGTATTCTTGGTCCCATTTTTTTTTTAATTTTTTTGGACTGAAATTGAAAGAGAGATGGAACGTCATTGTTGTTTGCCCAAAGTAAAAGAAAAAGAAAAAAAAGAAAAAAATTGCACTCTGTTGGTCATAGTCAAAACGATGTTGTTTTTTGGAAAACGGTACCGTTTCAATATGTTCTCACCATCTGCACTTTGTGGCTCATTTCAGTCCATTAGATCAACTCTTCACCACGTGTCTTCATCTGGTACAAAGTGCAGGACATTGTTGGAGGGAACTATGGCTGGAGAAGATCCTATTTCGGGTGCATGACACTTGCACCATTATAACCTTTCATTTGCATGCCATCATAAATACATTTAGGCTGTGTTTTGTGGGGGCTCTCAAATCAATTTTTCGCCCACTGATTTGAATGTTACGTTTGGTTTTAGTTTTCAAAAATTATTTTCACACTTGGGTTCGAAAACTCGTGTATCCGGTCATTTCCCGAACATCTCCCCCGACGTCCGGCCGATTGACCGAAACGGTGCTTGTTTGTTTGTTTTTTATATTTTAAATAAAAATATTTTTGGAATTTTTTAAAATTTTTGTATGAGTTTTAAATAGAATTTTGAGTTGTGTGTTTAGTTATTAGTTGTAATTTTTTGAATCAAATATTATATGTCACATCATTCAGTTCAAACTCAATTTGAAACTCTTTTCACAACTCATTTCAAAACTCATAACGAAACAAAATTTTCACATTCAAATCATAATTCTAAAACTCACAAATTTAAAATACAACTTTATTTTCAAATCATAATTTTAAAACGCTACCAAACGCTATCTTATATTTTTCATATATTGATATTTTTTTTTTTTTTCCACTTGCATGTAGTTCCCTATTATAAAATGAGGTGGGTGATGTGATATGTGTGATGTATGTGCTAGATCGAGAGAGAGAGAGAGAGGACTATGCTATGGAGAAAGAGAGAGAGGGAGGGAGAGGGAGAGGGAGGGGAAACTGTAATGTGTGTGATGTGTGTCAGTGTGTTGGGAGAGAAAAATTATTCTTTGCTCTACGGCAAGATGATGTAGTGCTTTAACTTAGTTATGATTGGTTGAATTAGTAGGATTCATCACATGTTTGTCTTTTTTTGGGGGATAATGGGACACTTATCCTTCAATGAATGGTGTGAGGCAATGCCTCAAAACCAACCAATAACTTCTGATTGTCAGATGAGACAGTTTTGAGAGTTGAGGGTCATGTCCTCGTAATTTATTTTTCATTTGTCAATACTGTTGAAATTTTCAAACATTTCTCACTGTGGTTTACGTCTTTTTTTTTTTTTTTCTTCAAACATTTCAAACATCTTTTTTTTTTTTTTTTTTTTTTTTTTGAACATCTTCTGAATCTACTGTAAGGTAATTCCCCGTTTAAAAATCAAATTAGGAGCTCTTTGGACAGCCTCATAAGCCTTGTTCTTTCGTTTGACTTTTTATTATTTTAGTCCGATTAAAAAGTAAGTTTAATGATTAATAGCTAAAATGAATAGTTAAAATTATAATTTAGCACTAATTAGTGTAAAATAATCATAGGATATCAATTTATTTCAATGGTTAAATTGTTGTTTTTTGAAAAATTGAGCAAAACTTTCACCAAGCGGTTGACCACCCGGTCGTTCACTCGGTCGAACCACTTGGTTGACCACTAGCCTCCCAAAATTGTCATGCTGGAAGCTTTAACTATAGGTAAAAATGGTGTCAAATTTGATGGAAGATATAGCAAAAGTATAATTTAACAGCTCTGATAACTTATTTTTGGAAATGAAAAAAGTGAACTCCATAATATTTTATAGCAATAGCACTCCAATGTCTCACCATTGGAGTTGTAGTAAAAAGTTTCGTTTGGAATAAACTTTTGACTTTTTTTTTTATAGTTTTATGAGAGAAAAAGTGAAATGATTAAGATTTATATACGACATTTTGTCTTATTAGTTTTTTGGCATATTTTCTCGTTTAATGGGCTAAATTAGTCCCAATTATCTTGCCAAACGGGGCCTAAATAAGCAACTTATTAATTTATTAACTTATTTTGATTACATCATTTCTCTACTTTTCTGTATGTGTTTTCATAATAAGTAAAAAAATCAATTTATAAGTCATACTCAAAACAATCCTAATTTAATCTCCATTACTCATTAAAAGTAGATGTTAGATTGACGAATTATAATTGAACTTGTTTTAAAATTTGTTACGTATTCAAGCCTTGCTTGAATAACTTCGGTTCTTGTTTTGTTTGCAAATTGCAGCCTATTTTAGGCAGTGCCTGGAAATAGCTTTTTAGATAGTTCTTTTTTTGGGTTGCGTTTGGTAGTTATTAAAAATTTATTTTTTTGAGTCCTTTTAAACTTGGTTTCTGGTGAAAAATTTATAGGGCATATTTTATTTTACTCCCCTTCAATTAAAAATTGTAGCACTTAACTAAGCCAAAACTACAAATTCAAGTAAAACTGGGGTCAAGATATAAATAAAGCTTTTAATTTGTAAACATGAACACAAATTAAAATCTATTTTTTATTGTTTGGTGTGGTTTTGTTGGATAATCTTCACTGTATTCGAAGAATGGATTAAAGAGAGGAGAGAGACTGTTTGATTAGAAAAATCAAAACAGTATATAAAAATAAATAAACAAAAACAGATTCTAATTTTGTTACAAAAACAAAATCTAAATCTGATATAAATAAATAATTAAAACAGGAAATAAATTGATTACTTACCTTATTAATTTCTTGAACAAAGTTTTGATCAAGTCTAGTATTTAACATTGTATCCTTAAGACAGATTCGTCCTCTCCACGGTACTTTCAGATTATGAACGTCTATCTCACAAGATAAAATGATCAACAACGAATAGCAGCAGCATTACAAACTATTCGCACAGCGAACACACTTTACACTCTTTTTGACAAGAAAATAATGCAGCAAAATGCAGAGAGCATGAGCACAATTGAGGATGAAAATTTTGTGAAAAACCAAATGAGGGACTTGTCTATTTATAGGTGCAATAGTGACTTTTCAGTTTTGAATTCAACAGGTATGGTACCTGTTCGGACAGATAAGAAACTGTTTGGTTTGAATTTGTTTGGATTTTGAATTTGAACAGATACTGAATCTGTTCGGTTTAAATTCAAACAGATAAAACCTGTTTGGTGGAGGAAAAAATCGAGCAGAATTTTGGAATTAATTTCGAATTTTAAATTCCGAAAAAGGTAAGAATTTTAATTTTAGGAAAAATAAAATTCAAATAGTTTTTGGCCCAAAAAGATAAGTATTGGGCTGGACAAGCCTAACCCATCCTCACACCCGCGTCTAGCCCAGCTTGACCAGATGGCGGTGCGGGTGTTTATTTTTGGGTCCAATGGGTTTAGCCCATTTTGCCCATAACCTCTCCCTTTTACAAACTTGGGGTGCTCCTTGGGCCCTCCCCAAGTTGCAATCACAAACCTTATAAACCCACAAAAGTTTGCCCGCCAAACCAATGTGAGACAAATCTTTAGTTCAAACCTTTAAGGAAACTTCACCAATATACTATTTCCATGGAGCTCACTTTGGTTTCAATTTCCCATTCACCTGATAATAGTTTTGAGCAACCAAATATACTACGTGAATCACAACGCAACATAGAACATGTTGCCACTTAGACCCTCCAACTTTGGCACATAGATCTCACCTAAAAATTAGACCAAAGTTGAAGAAAAATCTTAATTTTTCTAAAACCATTTCTAATAGTTTTTTGAGCCAACATATATATTTTAGTTTTGAAAAAGTTATTTTATACTGTTTGGTTAAATTTATTTCAAACAGTTTCTGATTCTAATAATTTATTTTAACCCAAAAAAGTTAATTCTGATAAGTTGCCCATCTCTTGCTCCTGATTATCTGACAAACAAGCATTTATTACTTTTGAATAATTCACCACTTCAATTGTATTTAAAATTTTTCCAAAACAATTTTATTTTTAAATTAAAATTGAATGAAATGAAATAGTTATTCTTTAGACTCTCTATAAAATGATTATTCAATAATGATTCATTTGTAATATATTTTTTAATAAATTTTTTAATGAACTAAATGTGAGAATGAATATTATGATAAAAATGATAATTTCATTATAATGAACCAAACATAATATAAGAATTAAAATTATTAAGGAACCTATATTTTAAACAAGATTTGAGAGTCCAAGGCAGGTTTTTCCTAAGGTCAGCCTTGCATTGCAACATGAGGTTTTCAAATGTCACATAAGAAGGACCCCAACATGTACAATATTAAAATAACTAAAAAAAATTCCCAAGCAATGCTTTATATTTTTTTGTGATTAAAAAATATACAGGCAATGAAAAGAAAATTATATCTATGAATCAGTATACAAAAAGACCGATTCAACCATCTTGAAAAACTTCTGTTCCACTAAAAAACTATAAAAAAAAAAAAAAAAAACGACTTTGGTACAAAGGAATGATCTATAGACTATAGTCATTTACTAATTTACATGTCAAACTCACCCACCAAAACTAATTTTCCTCACAACCAACCATGGCTATGGCTATGGCTGTCTGCAACTCTTGGAACCCCTTTCGATCACAAAACTTCTTCTACGCGAACATCTGTTACTACTTCCTTGTAGTAATCCCTCTTCATGTAAATGCACTGAGCTTCAACTTGACTAATATTGGTCCGCAACTAAATGCAGAGATAGTTGTAGAAGGAGATGCTTATGTCTCACCCGAAGGCATCCAACTCACCTCAAACGAGATCAACATGACCCAAAATTACTCAGCTGGTCGAGCCACATACAAAGATCCTCTTTTCCTTTGGGACAATACTTCAGGAAAACTCACGGACTTCAACACCTATTTCTCGTTTGTCATTGATTCAATAGGAAGCTATGATTTTGCAGATGGCATCACATTCTTCCTTGTTCCTAATGGTTTCACTCCCTATATCACAGTAGGTGGTTCCATTGGTCTTCTAATTAGCCCGCCGACATATATTGCTATCTCTTCCTTTGTTGCTGTAGAGTTTGATACCTATCAAGATACTTGGGATCCAGTTGACATCACACCAACAACTCATGTAGGTATCGATATAACCCTCTCAATTCTAGTGCTTATGCTGTCACGCCCCCAAACCGCCCCTAGTAGTTTGGTGCTGTGATGGCCAGTAATCCGAGATTACCGAAGGCCGACTTACAAGAATCACACACAATCAGAGTATGAAATATGGGGCTTACAAGTGCGGAAGCAATATGTGTATAAACAGAATCTAAATAGTCCATGAGAGCCGTGCATAAGTCCAATGAAATGACATACATCTTTATAAAGTCTTACAACTTAAATACAATAAGGAAATGAGATACAAAACACATTTTGACCAAAAGGCTTCTCAAGCCGACATTTACAAGTACAAATGAAAAATAAGCCAAGAAGCATGATCTTCAAGATGGTACAAAAATGCTAATTCAAAACATGTCGGCAATGCACCCAAAAACACATCGGCATCACGTCTAGGCCTCAATGCCTTCTTGTTCATCACCTACATATATATAGAGAGGGTGAGCTTGGATACTCAGTGAACGATATTAGAAATAAAGGTTTTTGCATGATTGATATCCAAGATTTCTTTCAAAACAATACATAGCATACTTGTCGCATAGTCA